CGAATCGTACGGTGTCGAATAATTTGGTGTCGAATAAATCTGTGTCGAATCGAGCGGTGTCGAATCGTACTGTGGTCAAACGGAACACGCCCAAATCCTTGCAGGTCTACAAACGTCGGCACAACCATGTTAACGTACTCGTGTGACCAACAAAAAACAAATGCTATCTATCGTAAAGTACTTTCTCTCTTAAACGATTTTCAGATTATAAAGGAGAGAAGCGCTGATGTTGCAGTTTATGTAATTTTGCGCACTACGTTGGTTGACGGATTGTATTCAATAACACGATCGTGCAAAATGTGAAAATAGGCTGTAGTATTTGCTGGTATATTTTCTTTGCAATCGAATTCAATTCGCACATCGACGGTTGCACTTTTGACCGCCTCGTTTTGACGCGAACAATCAATGGACCACTAAAGGACCACATTGCAAAAAGTTGGAAATCGTGAGAAACGGTACGACAACACCACATCCGTAATACGCTTTACGGAAATGTGTGTACATATGGTACAGAACGGCATATTTTTTTCTATCAAAATCTAAATGCAAGTCGTCATAAGGATAAAATTCAGAATTGAGATAAAGTTTTACGTTGGTCAACTGACAGTGATCGAATCGCGTGACATCTGCTGACATATCGTTTCTTCGAGCAGTCTGTAGCGCAAATATGACGTATCTCGGTTTCTCAAGTTGTGTCGCCGTTTTTACGGCCCACAAGTGTTTAGTCGTGCTTTGTAATAATGGAAACTCATAGAGATCCCACGAGCGGAAACTCATGGTCAAATACCGTCCGCTTTCCAGAGTTCGTAGCAGCGAGAGCTTCGTGACATCGTTCAATACTACATGAGGCATTCGCCAATGTATTTTAAATAATTCAATTTTTCCATCTAATGCTTCACCATCTACCTCAGAAACTGCTGTTATGCAGTTTTTGTCGTTGCGCGATCGTATTAAAATTAGTTTATGACGTGCATTAATAATGGTACGCTTGTAGTCATCGCAAAATCCTAATATCATGCTGAGAGGTACGCAGAAACTAAAGTAACTATCTACGTCCGTATGTTGTGTAATATCCCATCCAGCATTCTTTATGGCCATGCTATTATCATTTGTTAGCGATACATAGTTTTTGATTGTGCTGGTTATTCCAACGTTTCTATTACGATCAATCTCCATACCATTGAGTTCATAGCGAATCTCATCAAACATAAAAGCCACACAATTATTACCCAGAAATACTTCTTCTTCGTCTTTNGTCGTTAACGTCATTTTTCCTTCGACGTAAAGAAAACTTTGACACGGTAAAGTGTACAAGTCCTGCTGTTGTATAGGTATGCGTATCTCATCACTNTGTTCAAATGTTGTGTTTACGTACGGATTGTACGTGTGAGTTTCAATCTTAACAATGCGATCGTCAAAGATCGGCTCACCTCCAACGTTTAAAATGTCGCACATATTTTCAAAATTTTCGTACAATAAATCCCAACGATTGTAAAAATTCAACATTTGTCGAACTTAGCTTTTTCCGATTACTGTACGTCGTAGTAGTAGCAGGTGTTTGTAATGAAAACCTTGTATCTCGCGTTACTTGATCCGCCTCGTTTAGCACGAGCATGCCGCATATTACAGCCGTCGTCGTCGCACATGTAATCTGACGGTTATTTCTTCTCCTCGAAAATCAAGCAATTGTCCGTTCTGATCCACAATGCGTATCGTCAGATCCGTAATGCTCTGTACGATGATCGGAAGGTAAATGATCTGTGCCGGTGTTTCCGAGATCTTATATCCTGGTGGTACGTTTGGTGAGAACTTATGTATCGTATGCACACACCGGTTGTTGCTGTACGCACCCGTAGTCATGTTGCACTCTATGCAAATAATGTTTACGTTGATAATATTAATTGGCACGTCTGATACGTACCATTGTAGCGGCTCTAAAATACGAGTTGATGAAAAACCTAACAACGATCCAATGTTGTCGGGTTTGGTAAAATTTATTTGATAAGCGCAGTTTATTTCACTTTTCATTGTATTAGTGTTTGCGCGTAATATTAGTAGAGGGATATTCTCATC